TTCTATTAGGTGCACTATAAATATGCACGTAAAGTAAATCAGGTGGGTTATATTATGGAGTTGTATGGTTTGAAAATTAAAGCATACCAAATTCCTTTGCAGCAAAATGCATATTTACTTAGCCACTTATTTTCATGGTCTTTCCCAGATAATTGAATAAAAATACCTTTTTTTATATTTATATTTTAGAAATAAAGAAAGATGATTTATTGATGTCTCATACATCCTAAAATATAAACACTTGCCTCATATGATGTCTTTGCAAAATGCCAGTTAATTAATTTGACTGAAGAGAACAAGTTTTTTTAATTAAGTTTTTTTTCTCTTCTTTCTAGATAAATGACTTCAAAAAGACTTCAGGTTGAAGGAGTTATAGTGACATTACCAGTGCAAGATATGAAACAGTAGTTTGAGCATTTTAGCCTTAATAAAGAAAACAAACAAGGATAAAGAGACTTCTGTAAAAACAGGTTCACCCACCTTCTTCTGTTTCCTGAAATGAACCCTCCTCTTGACGTATGTTGCTGAGCCCACTGGAGGGCACACTCTCCTGCTGCTCTTCATCACTTCCCTTTCCCACTTCAGCGTGGTTCAGATGTAATGATCGGGGTGGGCTGGAATCAGCTGAGGACAGAGGGCTCACATCTGTTACRGTGCCGTCTGACTCATCTGTACTTAAGGCAGGTGAATCTCGAGATCCCGCAGAGCCCACTCTGGTCCTTCTTACTCCATGACGTAAAGAASACTTGGTGGTTTTGGGCAAGCTGGGGGACCCTAAAATAGACCTCTGACTCCTACAGGAGCTCTCAGAATCTGCATCTGCACTGGCATCAGTTAAAGCAGGAGATGGGTTTTGGGGGTGCTGACTTTGTAATCGTTTTCCAGAAGATGATTTCTCACTCCTCCTGTTTGGGCTGGCTGCTAAGGCGTTTTCTCCTGTTTTATTGGTGTTTTCAGTGTTATTACAATCTGTCTCTAATGCATCTACCACCAAAGCCAAAAATGTTCCACTGGGCCTTTTAGAGCGCCCATTTGAATCATCCTCACTATCACTACTATTACTTATGGCTTTATCTGATTTACAGGACACAAACGAGGCATCTGACGCTCTGGCCTTGTTCTCAGCTTGTTTCAAGTGTCTCCTCATCCGTTCAGTCCTTGGGGATAGATCAATACCTTCATCTTTGATATGTTTTGCAGATAACTGCTTGTGTGCCTTGAAGCTCAGCTTTTCTGCCTTCAAACCTCCTTTCTTTACTCCCCCATCTTCACACTCACTGTCAAAAAAGGCGTGATCCACTTCACCTTCAAGTTCACTAGAGTTGAACATGGCTGCTTTCCTAAACACAGACCCTGTGAGAAAATCAATGAGTTTAAAGTTAGAAATTATCCTATAAAAAGTAAAAGAGAGCAGTTCGTGCCTTTTTTTTTTTTACATTTTCTTCTAATACATTCAACTTTACAGTACGACTAACCGGTCTGGTGCTGTGTGTGCTTTTGGAATTTAGTTGTATTTTTCCTACAAATTTAGCTAACACTCTAAACCAGTGTTTCCCAAAGTTGGGGTCAGGACCCAAAGTGGGGTCCCRAAACATCTAGGTGGGGTCCTGAAAAGATTTTAGGAATTAATTACATTTTTGCCTTAGTTGTTGCAAAGGAGTGATGTTAGTGTATTTAAAATGGATAAATGTAGTATAATAAATATTGTTACTATGCCCATGTTTAGTTGACCTGATGTTTATCATCCAAAAATAGCTGAGGGCACAGGTCTCTGCTACTGTTATTTTGTGGGTCAGAAGCTGAAAAGTTTTGGAACCAGTGCACTTTGGTTACCAAAGGTGGGCTTGGGACCCAATTATGGGTCATGAAGCACCTTGGATAATCTCCAGAAATCAATTTAAAGGGTAATAAAATAATTGCTGATGTAATATTTTCCTATAACTATTACAAAAACAC